GGTTGTTGCTTGCAACTGTCGCTGCAAGTTATGGAGGAACTGTTGTTGCACTCGCTGCTGCAACATATGTTGCTGCAACTTGCAAGTGTTACAGCAACACAACTCCAACAAAAGTTACTCACGTCGATGGTCTCCCGCATACATGACAACTACACTGCCTGAGCACGTGGCAGGCCTCCTATTGACATCAGAGGCCCATGTGGTGAAAGATCTGCCATGACCTGCATAGATTGAAAAAAGATGTGCAAATGGGTTGGTTGTCATATTCACAGATTGATTGAATGATGGATCGGTTAATGTAAATCAGTTGATTGAATGATTGAGTGGCTTGGTGGATTGATGGCTTGGCCCAACGATCGAAACAGAACTACCAAACCACCAATCCCAATATCTGATTATACAGTTAAGCTAGGCTATAAAATGCTGTTAAAAGCAAAGGACCCAGACCCAATCATCACAGGATGATGGCACAAGTTAATTGGTTCTGAGGCAGACCCGGTAGCAAAAATTCCATGGAAGAAATATAAAACGATAAGACCCATACAAATCAGAAGCATGCAGTGGCTCATAATGTACGTTGCTCTACCGGTTAACCAGTGGTTACATGTTAGAAGAAGAAAGAAGGATCCACCCAGCGCTGGTGTTTGCACACTGTGTGCACAGTCTGCTTAGACCAAGAGCAGGAAGATTTGATACACAACCCAATTAACTGCAAAGAAGCCACATATTATTGGGCAAGAGCAGCAGCCCTATGGGATACTCTATTCTCGTCTCCCCTCACAGAACACCCCCTTCAACTGCTCCTCTGGACTAACTTACCCTCTAACTTTGACAAGTCGGAGAAAATCTGGTTCGGTATGGTACTCAAGGTTACGCTCTGGGCAATATGGAAAGAGAGATGCAGCAGAACTTTGGATGGCACGGAGAATCCACGGGAGAAAGTGTGGGCAACAACAAAAGAGATGATTGAAGCGGAAATCTTGTGTCATTGGAGGAAGGTCAAACCGTGGATGCAAAACAGTCCGGAGACAGAACAGGTGACACTTGCCAAATTCAAACGGGTCTGGTTGGTAGGTGGCTGAAAAGCCTTCCACGATTCAGACCCCAAATTTGGGGCACAGGGTCAGAGGCCCTGGTCAAGAAAGGCCGAATTCGTCAAATTTAGAAAAGTCACAGTCAGGTACCTCAGCAGTCCAGTCCAACAGGTACCCAGTAAACAGACACATCTCAGGGGCAAAAATCACGTCCCATAATGAAAAGCTACATTGAAAAGTCACATCGGATTCCCACGAGTGAAAGGGAAGTCCCATAAGCAAGAGTCGTGTCTCAGAGGCATGAGTCACAATCTACAGTCCAATCCATATGCCAAACTCGAAAAGTCACGACTCAAAGGCCCAGGCAGCAGCAGACCAATGGAAATTCGGGAAGGTTCCAGGCCTTGACACTCAGAAGCAGACAGGCCGTGGGAATGTGGTACTGGAACTCAGTCAGACCCAGGAAGCAGAGGCTGGCACGAGTTGAAGTGCAATCCAAGACTACAAAAGGACTGGCCAGCCKCCCATTCGGGYAGATTGCTCATTTGSAAGTAGTGTGGAAGTGCTGGTGCACTTGTGCGCTAAAGTGAGGGCAGAGCRCTGAVGCCAGAGTGCTGTGCTAAGAGAGGGAGAGAGAGGAAGAGGATGCRCTGGCAGGAAGAAGGCAGCCATAGCTGCACTAGCGCTTAGTGATAGTGATAGTTAGTAGGGAGTTAGTAGACTAGCAGTGGATGTATCCAGAGTAGATCCTTGAGTAGAGGCTAGTGAGTGTGCATGCATGMAGGGAGAGAASACACAGTGAGAAGTAGATAGGAGAGAAGACACAGCGAGGTTATRGCCAGAGAGAAAGAAGAGCAAGGAGGAGAAGATACTTACCTTTGAGCTGATGCTGGTAACTGGTTACCTTTTTGTACGCGCTGATGAGCGCTGKCGACCTGAACTYTTWTTGGTCWTGTAATAACTTGTTGAAACTCAKAAGCTGCGCTGMCTGGTCTTTATCTCTCTGGTCTCCAGTGTGAAATTTCGTGTGATTTCATACATGCATGTGGTATATATCTGCGCACTCATYGAGTCATTGGTGATGAACGGCGTGGTTCATAGCAGTGGCAAAGTCGCATGGCTAAATGGGCAGGTTTTAAGATGGAAATAGTGGCATAATATGGTCAAGTCTGTTTCTCAGCGGAATACATAGTTGAAACGGTATTCACCAGTTCGCAGTAGCGAATGCAGATCCCAGGGCTCGATCCCTAGTTCCCCGTTTTACCTGTGTACAGTACCAGTGTCAACCCGTAGATTTGAACCTGCGACCTGTAGGACTGCTAGTGGTAGGTAGATTTTCGTAGGTCACAGGGTAGAAGGGAATCGAACTGTAGACCTGTAGGGTAGGAGTCTAGACAGTTCCGAAGTCGTAGTTGTAGGATGTCTGAAGGGTCAAGGTCGTAGCTGCTACTTACCTGAAGGGGCAAAGTCGTAGCTGCTACAGTACCGAAAGGCCAAGTTAGAGGTTTCTAGAAGTGGCCTTTCAGAGTGAGCCTGTGTTGAACGGAGGCAAGTGGTCAAGTGGTGGAAGGCCACCTCGCTGAGTCAACAGTCCCAGTTAGGCAGTCCGGTCCTGTCCAGCAAGTACCGTCTGGGACTGTGTGCACCGGGGGCCAAGGGACACAGGGCAGACCAACGCAGCACAGAAGTATAAATCAAGAGGCTGCGTCCAGCCCTTCATTCATTCCTACGGAAGCCATGCGGAAGCGCTGCCTCAGCAGCTTGTGCGGGGAGGTCTGCAGAAGGCCCGAAGACGAAGTGGGCGAGAGTGACGCACTGTAGCCATAGCAGTAGGGTAGCGGCGGCCATAGCCGCCATAGCTGTAGTATAGKGGAAGAGTGTGTGTACTGTGTGTGTATACTGAGTATCGCGTGTGGGACATCCAGGGTGATCCAGAGTGTGAACAGTGAGTTTGTGTGAGGCGCACAGTCGCCATAGCCAGTGGAAGCGAACTGTTACTTGGAAGCCATATCTCTGAGTTCTGTGTGGGCGCATGGCGCCAGTTTGTTATTCTGCTGTTCACGTGCATGTAAAGTGTGAATAAGTCGAGTCTGATTGCATAGTGCAATCAAACTCACTTTCACTTCCACTTCGCACACATGCAAACAGATGGAGATTCACACTGGCGCGGGGCGCCCACTCAAAGCTTAGAGATATGGAAATCAAGAACACAGTTCAGATGCAAGTTCAATGCAACAGGCTATCGCGCATCGGCACCTAAACATCCCAACCTTCGTCACTGTGTCCAACTCCACTGTTCACACACGCTCACTCTGGATCACCCTGAATACCACCACACACGCATGCTAAGTCTAACTTCCTCCTACAGCGGCTATGGCCACACTACCACTACTGACTATGGCTATGATCTCCCTTCACCCCACTTCGTCCTCGGGCAACCTGCAGACCACCTTCGCACAAGACGCTGTAGCAGCGCGTCCACATGGCTTACGCAGCGAATGAATGAATGGCTGGGCGCTGCCTCTTGATTTATACTTCTGTAACTCGTTGGTTTGCCTCTTTCCCAGGCCCTTGGTGTACACAGTCTCACACGGTACTTGCTTGACTGGATTCTGACTTACAGGGACCAGTACCGCTGACTGCATGGGTTTGCGCTGCCAACTTGATGCAGTCGCACTGCCGACGTAGTGCAGTTGGGCTCCCCACTTGCCTCTGACTAAAACGTGAGACACTTCAAAAGGCCACTTCCGGACCTTCCGGAAGCCTGTGGATTTGGCCTTTCGGGAACTGTAGCAGCTACGACCTTGACCTTTTAGGACCGTAGCAGCTACGACCTTGACCTTTCAGAGCATCTACAACCACGACCTCTACAGAGCTGCGACTCCTAATCGACGGACCTACAGATCAAACCCCTACCGCTACACAGGCCTACGACAGACGCCAAACAGCTACCGAAACACAGATTACGGGTTCAAACACTCAGGGGTCGACTCGATACTGTACGTGGGCAAAGTGAGGTCTGGGGATCGAACTCTAGGGCCCGCATCCGTGACTGCAGAAACTTTAAGGTGAAAACCGTTTCAATAGGTACACGAGGAACCAACTCCGATTTGGGCCTAGAAGAGCGTCCTCCTGGCCTTCCTTGACCTCAGACCTTGACCCTGGAATTCGAATTTGGGGTCTGCATCATGGTATGCCTTTCAATTAATTGATTAAAAAAAAAAAAAAAAAAAAAGGAAA